GAAACTGACAATGAGTTAAAGTACAAAAGGCGTCAGGTCTCAAGATAGCTGTCCCAGACTGTAAATTTAGAAAATGTCGAAGTCTTTATGTTCATACATTCCAATGTTTCAGAGTCACAAAATTCAAATATTCTAAAGTTAAATATGTCTAAAATTCTGAGGACCCAAAATCCTAAAATCCTAAAATCCTGAAATAGGAGATACAAAAATTTCATAGTCATAAAATCTTTCCAAAATCCCAAAGTTATGAGGTTCTAATCGAAAAGTTTAATCAAAATGATTTAACGACTAGTTATGTCTCTTTATGTATCTTAGGAAATGCGATGGTTGATTTCTATGAAGATATTTAATTTTATGTATTTTAGCTTATGAAGCATTTTCATCATATACACCAGAAATGATTATTACACTTTTCACTGTTACTGAACATGGCAATACAAGTAGCACACTATCTATTAGAGCAACTTTCCCGGTATTATTTTTACTCTTACAGCGTTTAGAAAACTGAGCTGACAATGAGATACAAATCTCAAGCAATATTTAAAAACTAACGAAATGTGTGTTTAAAAACATGACTGCTATTATAAACAAAACTGGATTACAGTCACGTTGAGTGAATCTCTTTCCTAATGTACAGTTATAAATTTGAAAATATTTCAGTAATTACAGAACAATTGTATTTGCTCCAGATATATCAATAAGTAAATAGAAGATGAAATAGCATCTAAAATAATTAAAACGAGACATCTATGATGTGTCATTTGTACGCGCTCCGTAAACTTAGTGCAAAACATGCAAAGCAGTTGGTCCAGAAAGTTCTCGCTTACACGACGCGCCGTTCGTACATCGAAAGATATTTCCAAACACGCCCTAAGGTTTTGAGTGTCGATGCAAAGGTCGCAGCTTCGTCGAGACAGGGTACACCGCCAGCGGGCCACTCTCGACGAGACATCCGCGAGCAACGGACCAAAGGTGTCAGCGTGTAAGTATCCCCTTTTTCCAAAGGGACGTAGTGAACGGGAGGATGGGACAGGGCCGCGCCGGTGTCCGAGAGGAGGCAAAGCTTCCCGGGTTCCCGGGCAAAAGGAGGAAGCCGAGTGAATTTTTTATCGGTAAAAACTCCATTAGAGAGAGAGAAGTGCGGGTGTTTGTTATTGGTCATCCTCGAAGGGAAGACGCCGTGGTGGAGGGGGCTTGTCCGGCGCAGAGATATCCATTGATCCGAGGGATGGTAGATCGCGAACGGGTTTGCCATCCCCTCCGCCCAGGGTAGCATCTACAATGTTCCTTTCATGCGGCCGCTATCAAAGAAATCAATTACCCGGTAACACCCGTGAGTTCTGTGTGCCCCCGCTTCGATGCAACCAGCCCCGGGAGGAGGAACACCACCATCGCCGTCGCACATATTTATTTTATACCGACCACTCCTCGCTGCCCGCCAACCGTGGAATCCTTTATCAAGTTCCGGAGAACTCCATCTTTTTCTTTTGCCCCAATCCGGGGGAAAACGACCTACGAAATCACTCGATTCGATTCAGACGCGTGGATGAGGATGCTGCTATAGATGTATTTTCTGCCGGAAAAAGTACCAACGGATTTATAGTAGAACATCTAAGTTGCCTGAATTTACTTAAAATATTATTTTAGTTGATACAGGAAACACTATTTTTATCATTTTTCTTTTACTTTTGAACACTTCAGACGGATTTATCATAGAACATCTAAATCACCAGACTTGAATTATAATATCACTTTCTTTGATAAAGTAAACAGTTTCTGTAGCTTTTCCTTCACTTTTAAATTCTTTCGAGCGGATTTACATTGAAACTGTAAATTGCTAGAATTCGCTTAAAATATTATTTTATTTCATTTTTTAATATAATTCTATAATTTTCTTTGGGATAATAATCCTTATACAAAGGATTAATTTTCTTTTTTAATTTTTACAATTACAAAAAAAATTATGAAACATTGCAAATTAAACATCTTGTATATTATTATTTTAAATTTTGGTAGTTAATGTAATCTTGTACATTTCATTAGGTTTTATTAAACATAAGAAATTAACTTCTATTGTAAACAGGAGATCAGAAATAATCCAAACATTAACAAATTTGAAAATGCTTATGTTTGGAAATGAAGAAATTAAGAAGCTTATATCAGAAATTTAGAAATTTGGATCATTCGAAATCTGTACTTTTAAAAATTTGCCATATTACATTATCTTCTGGAAATTTTGAATTTGGAGAGTTTGGAAATTTGGAGATACGAAAATTCGGAAGTTCAGAAATTTGGGGAATTTACTATATGTACACATACAGAAATTTAGAAATTGGAAAATGTGGAAATTGACCATATTTAGAGATTTGAAAATTTGAAAATGTGTCAATTTGTACAATTAGCGATTCAGAAATACAAACATCTATAATTTCAAGAACTTACAAGTATAGAAAATTAAAATTTACAGATTTTCACAAAATTTCAAATTTGTATATCTAAAAATTAATCAATCTGGAAATCTTCAATTTTCAAATTTAACATATTAATGTAAATATAATATTCAATATTATGTATACATATAATTATAATGTTAAACACTCAATTGCAGTATTACGTAGCATCAGATCAATAAATTTGAATAGTTAATAATCCATAAATACAAAATTTCAATTTTTCGAATGTCCAATTCGAATTATCTCAACAATGTCCAGTACCGCACAACGCCTTCACAGTCCAATCCGGAAAACCTTTACAACACGAACATAAGGTGAACTGAGGTAAGTTCGTAAACGGGGCAAGTACGTGTACAGACTATTTTTAGTAGAATATGAGCGAAATTTCTCTATTTAGTATGTTTGTTTCCTTGTTTTGTTTCACTATACCCCTTTTCATATTTCAGCTAATACTTGTTTGCAGTATAGAGTACTTGCATAATGCAGTAAAAAGCATTTTAAAGCAGATTTAATAATAATTCTGCTCTTGTCCTATTGCACATGAAATAAAGTTTCAAAGTATTTAATTTCAAGTTACGATCTTACCCCATTTTCGGAAAAAGGGCAGAGTAGTTGACATTTTAAATAATTTCCTATGAAAATCAAAATGTACAAGGAAAATTAAGGTCCTAGTTAATATTAATTAAATAGTAGTAATTGTGCAAAGCGTTCGACATCGACAGCGTTAAGTATTTACATAGCAGACTAAAAATACTTACGTTTAAATACCAATTTTACAAAAACCAATCTGCACTTACCCCACTTCACCTTACTGCAGTATCTGTAAAATCCCAGAATATATCACCTCAAATTTCTTAATCTAACATCATACGTAACATTCACATTGAATGAGCTCCATTGGCAAATTGTATCTAATGCCAAGAACAAGTGGATCTCAAAGGGTTAATATCTCCGATTTCTCGAAAATCAAGCGGATGCGACAGCTTGTGACAGTAGCAGGGTGGTTGGGGGTGGAAGGGGATGATCGGACAGGTGAACGAGCGAGGGTGGACCAGCACGATGAACGTCGACCGACTGCAGGAGACCGATAGGATACAGGGGTGGTGTAGGATCTCTTGACGCGTGCATCGACGTCCACTGGCTCCCGAGGGAAATCCACTTCATGATGGGAATCCCATTATTTCCCGAGCGATATAAAAGTAGGTAGTCCACGTGCTGTCCGGTTCAGGCCATTCCACGAGCCCCTCCATCTCCTTCCATCCCCAACGAGTCGCTCTTTTTCTCCCTTCACCATTGTCTCTCGATCCATTCGCAATTCATTCCTGGATTCGAGACTGTCCACTGCTAAGACGACACCTAAAGGACTGTTTTTACTTTGGATTAATACGCCTCGCGGAATCAAATGCGCCTGGCTTGTGTTTAGAATTCTTCAATTGTTCTGCTTCGAGGAACTAACTGGAAGCTCTAAAAACGTTTATGTTTCAGATTATTTTCTAACGAAGATAAACATTTTAAGAATACAATCTTTTTTACATTGAAAAGTACATATTTTTTTCTAATTTTAATATAAAATATATACTTTAAATTACAGCGTGTATAGAATATAATTAGGTGAGGTGGAATAAATAGGGCCTTAAACCTGGACTCTATATTTTGAAAGAAATGACAAATTTATGAGTTTCAATTTTTAGTAATTAATTGTTTACGGAATTCTCTCTTCTGGGCAGCCCCAGACGATATCTTATTTCAGTCCTGCGTGTATAATAAATGTGTACATTTATTTAAAATTCTGTCAGAAACCTAAATTATATCATATTAAAAAAGTGGATATTAATATTCAGAATGCTAATTTGCAGTGTTCTAAGTACACTAATGTACTTGTACACTAAAAATTTGTATTCTCTTTTTTCATGTTTTATTTTAAGTTTTTCGGAACTCACCTTGCAGTCATTAAATAAAAAAAAAAACCTATTATTATAAAACAATGGATTTAGTAAGGTAACAGGTGTATGCAAGATTCATTTACATGTGCTTTTTACTTAGAACATAAAGAATGTGTTTTTATACTATTATTATTATAGTTTGAATTTGTGGACATCGACTGCGATAGTTATTAACCTCAATGTGTTTTTATGTCAACGGTTTTTTAATTTTATTTCGAAATACTGTTTGAAAATAATACTACCTGCGCGATCTAACGGCGAAGGAAGACTCTAATAATGCAAGAATTAATTTTTTTTGCAAAACAATCAATATCATAGTAACATAATATTACCTACTATAATAACGGAAAATGACTTTTGAAGTAATTGGAAATAATTATGAAACGTATAATACATAATAAAACAGCTATCAAAAATGAAGTTTTAAGCAATGTCGGTATTTCAGATCGTGTTACACAAAGATTAACACCACAAATCTATTCTATATTTTATCTGTACTAATACAGCATTTTTAATTTACCACATAATGGTACAATATCGTTTATAATACATGCTAAATGAATTTTATTACCATCAGTACTTCTACTCCATAGTAAGTGTTCTTTCTTACCAACATTATAACCAATGATCCGTTTAAATGCACAATGTGTTGAATTATCTACAAAAATTATGGAAATAATTCATTTATTGTAGTTGTTTTGATTGTACAGTGTATTTGGAGCAATCCTATTAATTAATTATTGCTATTTTAATAGAATTATATTGATTTAAGGACAGCTTGTATTCTAATCCTATTTAGGGTTATATTGCTATTTTGCATTTAATTATAATTTCACATTTCCATTGACTTGTAATTATGGCATCGATTTTGAACACCATCAATAGCTGTCAATTATTTAGCAAATGTTTAAAACAAAGGTATGCGTTATAAATATATAATTATTGACTGAATTTCTTGCACATATAATACTTCTTAAAGTGTCATGTAAAAAGCACTATTATTTGTTGTATCGTAATTGTTATAATAACTGCATGTATGATTATAAATATTGTGATAATTTCAGCTTTAACTTAATGAAGGTTCCCACTCGTAATAGAGGACCAATATGCATTCCCAGGAAACGTCATCCTGAATGGCTCCCAAAACCAACACGTGTGGTATATAGTTATTAAATTTAAGTAACTGTTTAGTTTCTTTTCGTCTTTCACATAATATGTAATAATTCTGTTTGTACTAGCAAAGCAATGAAAAACTTACTCAAGAAAACAAGGAATTTATATCAGATGTTGTAATATCCACAAAAGGACTTCTTAATCCTCCAATTAATACACCATTGAATGCAACATTAATTCCAACTGCTACAGAATGGACTGCAAATTCCAAACGCACTGGTTTAATTGGTAAAAAGCTAGGGTCATATCCAATGTGGTTAAAAAATGGAAAGCGAATAATATCTACTCTAATTCAGGTACCATATTACAATTATGTAACAGTGTTTTCTAATTTTGTATCGCCACATTATAATAGATATTTATACAATTTTTATCATAGATTGTAGATAATGAGGTTGTAAAATATATACCACCAGAAGAATTTAACCCAGTTGTACGCACTAGACATAAGCAAGTTAAAGTAAAAAATGGTTGTCTTGTAGTAGGTGCAGAAAACATTGATCCGCAATTAGTAAGTTAATATATTTGTACCTTTCTATAGTTACTTCTGTAAATTGAATACAATATTAAACACTTTTCATTATTGTAGCTTACTAAGGAGTACTATGGAATATTTAATAAAGCTGGGGTCACACCTAAGAAAATGCTAATGAGATTCATAATTTCACCAAATGCAGTTCTTCAGCCAGGAACTCCTTTAATGGCAACACATTTTAAACCAGGAGAGTATATTGATATTCGAGGAAAGACGTAAGTATTTGATATTTTAATTCTATTGCAAATATTTGATCAATTGTTACAAGGTTCTTTTTAAATGCAGGATAGATCGTGGCTTTCAAGGTGTTATGAAAAGATGGGGATTCCATGGTATGCCTGCTTCTCATGGCGTAACTAAAACGCATAGAAGACCAGGTAATATTGGTGCACCCAAAGCTAGGGTAATGCCAGGCACTAAAATGCCAGGGCATATGGGAAATCGTTGGCGTATTTTAAAAGGTGTTAAGGTAAATAACACTTATTACTATTATATCGTTAATTTAATAGGGTAGATTAAATTATACCTCCTTTTCTGTTAACTTTTTGCTGCTATTTTTTATTTAAAAAGACAAATATAATTTCAAATATCTTTTATACATTTCTAACTGTTGAAAAATACGAGCAAATAACAGGATACACATATCCATAAATTTTTATTTTGTCCGACTATCAATACATTTTTAAATAATCCTTCAAACGTATATAACTCATTTATTATCTTTATTTCGTGTACTAACACAAAAAATATATTAAAAATGTTTAAGAATGGAACATATTCTTAGCAAAATATAAATAAAATTACCAGCAAAATACCACTTGCTTTGCTAATAATTTCACATTAAATATATTGATTATAATTCTACCTAAAAGAATAAAATTGCATTTTCTCAATACAGTGTTATAACTAATAAAGCCTTTGAAATCAAACATTATTGAACAGTTAAATTGTTTTGTTACTTTCTTCTATTATCGTTTGTTTAAAGGAATACATATTATTTATACTCAGTTATATAGCAGATAATAGTAAATTAAATAAAAAGTTTACATTGTCTTCAACATAAAATGTGTTCTGCAATCACAATGTGTTATCTAATACCTCTTAATAAATTTGAGCAAAACATTACTGTTTGAAAGCAATCGTCTTTAGTAGATTAATAAATAATTATAAAGATAAATTAAACAGAAGGACTGTATGATATGCAATTAAAATAGTTTTCTATAGCAAAAGGATTAACATTAAAATTGTCGATTATTTATGTATTGCAGATATTACGAATCAACACTAAATATAACGTAATTTGGGTATTCGCTTCGAACGTACCAGGAGAGACAAACACCCCGTTGTATTTATATGATACGATCCTCCCAACAAAACGAAATACTTCACCTAATTTCCCTACATTTTTGCCAAATGACAAGGACGAAACTGAACTTCCTGAAAATCTTTATGCGGACGATGTTCATCCATTTAATGACCCCCCAATTGTATTTGAGCCAGAATCGTAATTGTAACAACGTAATTAAATAAAACAGCATTTTCGTGAGAAAAACAACGGACTTTTTATAAAGTTACTTGAATCCCTTCAAAATTGTAGGTAACATGTTTATTAACGTGATCAAAAGTCCAAGCAAAAATCGGCAATTAATTTTTGCCGTGTTCATGTAGTAGTTTTATTGTTCATCCTCTTCCTCTTACAGAAATAATTCATAGTCATGAATTAAGCTAATAAAGAGTAGACAATTGATTCATTTATTTAGTAATCAATATTATTATAAATTTAACATGCCTAAAATATACATGATTGTTTTATAAATGTAACATCGCTAACCAAGATTCATCTCAAGTTAGAATGGAGAGCAGCGTAATCAAACAATAAAAAGGTCTTTTTTTAATGCTCCTCAATGTAGAGAGCAAGTTAATTAATTTAACTAGAATAATTTATTCGGTACATTGCATGTCGCTAGCTGCATTCAGTTAAGTTCCGTTCCGCCAATGATTGTTTAATATGTGCAATTGAAGAGAGAGGAAAAAAGGTAACGTACACGTCTTTAAAAAGAATCAAAAAGGAAAAAAAACAGATTCTTATTTCAGTAAGAACCTCCTCTTTGCTCCGTTAAGTTTTCAGCCCTCGTCTTCATTCTGATTTCCCCTTTCTTGGTCAAGAAATCAACCAGTCACGGTTACACCTTTGGATTAGCAAACAAAATGTAATTTTTTTTTTAATTCAGCAGTGGCATATTGAAGTTGCCATATATTGTCGTTGGAGCAAGAATAAGACACAAAAATAGAAACGGGTAAGTAAAATGGCTCCGTAGTGGAGTTTCTCGGGGGACGGCACGATCGGATAAGAAATAATGGAGGCCCTCTCAAAATTTATAACCTTCGCTCGGAATGCTCGTCGTCTGGTCGAATTCAAATGTTGATTCTACAACTGGTGGCTCCAAATTCGTGTCATCCGGCTGAAACCAATACAAACATATTTCTTTTCATCGTTTCAAATAATTTAATGAATAAAATTATTTCAAATAATTTAATGATACATACATCTTCAGAGAAATATTGCTCAATTATATCAAACGCTAGTTTATAAATTTCTACATTTTCATGATTTTGCAGTGCCTCGATCTTATCCAGACCTGAAATATACATTAAAAAATATATTATTTAAATTTTATTATTATATTATTATTACATACAAAATAAACTATATGTAATATAAAAAGACTAACCTAAACATTCTTCGATCATATTGGCCAATTGTTCAACTTGTGATCCAGCAAGTTTGAGCATGCTATGTATACCGTCTAAAACGACCTGTATAACCTGAGTATCTTTGCAGGATAGAAGGTTACAGAAAGGTGGGATAACACCTGCTTCTATCATTCGCGCAACTTGGTCTCTATTGCCACTTATTGTTAAATTACTGATTGCCCATGCTGCTTCTTTCTGCGTTTGAAATTCACCCTGTGCAAAAAGAAGCAATATTATTAAACTACAGATACTTGCAATAAATTTCAACGACGTTAATTAAAATATGTTCTTACATTTGCTAGATTGCGAATGATAAGTGGCAGTAATCCGGCATCTATAACAGCTTGAACTTGAGATTGATTACCAGCAGTTATATTTGAAAGGAACCAGACTGCTTCTTTACAAATTTTCTCTCTTGGGTGAGTCAGTAAAGCGGGGAAGTATGAAAGCGCGTCGCAGTTTAATACACTTTGTGTCTGTTCATCTGTACCTGTTACAATATTACCAACTGCCCTCAAAGCAGCCGTTTGCACTTTAACTTCTTTGTGCGAGAGGAGTGGTATAAGACGTGGTACCACACCACTATCTATAACCAGTTGAATTTGTTCGTTACCACCATCAGTTAGGTAACTTAATGCCCAAACTGTGTCAACAAGTATCTGCAATATACATTGAATATAAGATATTGTTACAATAATTACTTATGCAAAAGTACTAGATATACTTTCATCGCTCACATTGATGTCTGAATGGTGAATGAGTACATTAAGAGCAGGCAAAATATCCTTAATAGTTTGAATAGGTGGTGGTGGATCTTTATTTCTACATAAATTCACAATTACCCATGTTACATTACGTAAAAAACTAATTGGTATATCCGGCTTAATAAACTTTAACAATGGCGGTACAACACCAAGACTAATAACATAATCTCTAGATGCTGGACCATCTCCAATAATATTTCCTACAAAAGAAATAATTGTTAATGTCCCTATGCACAAATTTTACATTAACCGATAGTTAAAAATAATTAAACACTATAAGTGGAAGAAAATTACTTAATTTACTTTTAACAACCAATCAATTTATCTTTATATAAATAACTATCTTTTTCTATTGCATTGCCATACTTATCCTTTATTTTCAACTACATTACATACCTAAAGCCCATACAGCTTGCTCACAAACATTATGTTGACTTGAAAGTAACAAACTCAAAAAATGTGGAACTGCACCAGCAGTAACAACTGCTTGTGTTTGAGGTGATGTTCCACTTGCAATATTTGTTAAAGCCCATGCTGCTTCAAACTGTAGAGATGGTCTGTAAATAAGTTATATTAAAAATGTAACTGGATTATAATAATGATGTAAACCTAATACTTAATAGATAGCAAAATCTACTCAAATATTACATAAATTTCTAACATAATCACAAATATTAAAAATTCCAGTACTATAAATTTTAAATGTTGTCATACTTATCATGCTCTTGAAGACAACGAACTAGGACCGGTAAAATGCCACTATGAATTAATCGATCAATTGGTGGATTACGATCTGAAGAAAGTAACCTTCTTGCTGATACTACAGCTTGTAATTGAATGGTTGGGTCAGGACTCTTAGCATCCATTACTAGTTCTTTCAAATTGATTTTTGATAAATGTTTATCAACATCTTCTTCATCTACAGAATAAGTATTACTTAATTATCTATTATACTTTTTGTGTAATACATGTTTTCCAATGATTTTAACTTAGGATACCTGTTAAATCTGTAATAGGCACATTTCTTCGTTTTTGTAAAGTTTCATTACGTTTATTTTTACGTAATTCCACTGTTACCTCATTTCTTCTTCTTCTCATTTCCTAAAATATATCATTTGTTGTTTTCATATGTTCATATTACTACACCAATGACATAATTCGTTTATGCACAATATTAGATTTAATTTAACTTTTAGAGTTCATACTCTTATTTCATAACAAAAAGCATAAGTCTTCCAAAATTTGCTGCTTTTGTAAAAATTGGTATTATGAATTATAGTAGGAAATTATAATTTCATGTGATATTGAAATGTCATAAAATATTATTTTAGGGAATTTTTAGTGGAAGACCTTAGTAACCCCACTCTGTCATTTACATTTCAAAAATAGTCACTGTGTTCTAAAGGTTAGACATAATTATAAATTTTTAAAAATGTTCTAATGTATATATTAATATCAATAACAGGTAATTAAAAAATATGACACAAGTGAAGTTGTTGAAAGGTAAATAGAATACATCTGTTATGACCTAATTGCACATATAGCACATATGCATATAATTAAATCAATTTATTAAATATATATATGATTCCTTAAAAATTAAAAATTTACTTATTATATATCATAACAGTTTTTGAATGTAAAAACAAGTAATATTAAAATTTATATAAGGAATTAATAAATATGGATATACAATGTTTAATGAATATCCATATTAAAAACAAGATCACAATCATATAAGGAACTCAAACTCAAAAGTCCTTAGTCAGAAGTGCTATCTAGTTACAAATTTTAATTCTAATATTATTTTATCAATAATTTCAAAGAATTCATTTAATTTTTTGATCAATTTATATTACATTTAAAAATAAAAATTATTAAAATAAATTATTATTTCAACACTATTTTCGACATTTTTTAGTGCTCTATTAGATACAATACAAAGATACGAAAAATTGAATCAACTATAGTGCTATTTAATGCTATTTATATATAGCAAAATACAATGGCATTGATATGATGTAGCTCAATTTTTGCTACGGATTTTTAAAATAATGCTACTTCATTACATTTTCTGCAACAGATCATTCAATCCTATTGATATTGAAGATTCATTTGACGTTATTCCGTGGAGGCTGACGACACTTTCCACTTGTTTCGAAATGCAACCATTGCATTTGGGAGTGCAATGTTGAAGAAGTCGATAAAATCATATCGACAATAGCCATACGGCTCGCGTAAAATCCGGAGAGGACAGAGGAATGTCGAAAGATCGAAACAGAACATACGAAGTATGCAAATGTATCGGCACAAATTTTGAAAAAACTAGTACGCGTAATGATCTTGTATTTATACGTTCCATAACGATAGCCGAAACTTCCAGAAGTATAACGTACATAACTGCGCACAACAAAAGGACACGCCGGATACTCACTTCTTGATCTTTGCCTTTGTTCTTAAAAACCATCAATCGATTCTTGCTTAGCATTTCCGCCGCCATTTTTTCAGTAAGCAATCCTTCGTGCTCGCGTATATTGATATGTACCGGCACCCGGATACCCCCTGTTACCGTGAAAAATTTCGTATCCGTGTTACTGCGGCCGATTTACCTCGCCAACTGCATGCCGTTGCGCGACAGCCTTAATGTACGTCAATATGCAATGCAATATCATGTATAACACTCGTTCCCTTGATCGCGATCGCCACACGACGTTCTCCGTAGTCACGTTTTCTCAACACGAACACAGTGTTTCAACCATTCCGAAAAGAACATCGGAAATGAACGAGGTGGCGCTTCGGAACACGCGTGTTTCACTATGTTCACCTTCGTACCCAGTAAAACGTATCCACAGAGCCCACGAGCAAAGATAACGCTACGGATTCTTTATTCGAAAACAATTTTTTGACTCTTTTCTATCAATTAGATTAGACTAAGATACAAGATACTTATGTTGAGTTACAGAAGCAATGTCTTCGATCCAGTTGGAACTCGTCCGAATTAATATATAACGAGTAACAACAAGAAATTTATAATGGTTTGATCAATTTCAGTTGGTATACATGATTATAATTAATGTATGAATCTAGGAATATTGGGATAGTGTGCAAGTTTGTATTTTAGGCGTAGAGAGGAAAGTCGTCATGAGAGGGGACTCTAATAGCTGATGCCCAAACTTTTGATTGGTTACTTTCCGGCGCAAGCTCTGTGCTGCCGATCATAAATAAATAACCATTGATCAATTTTTAAATCAAAACTAAAGAATTACTTTTTTTATATATACGAACTATTTGAAAAATTTTTGCTGTCATTTTAAATCTTTAACTTTAATAATTTAAAAATTATATGTTTATGAACTTTCAAGTTTTAAAATTTCAAGTTTTTGAATTTAGGAATTTAAAAATTGAATAATTTCAATATTTCAAACTCACAAATTTTTAAATGTAAGAATTATAAATTGTTCATTTAGAACTATTGGTACAGATCTTTCGTATATAGTTTAGTAACTGTAACCAATCGAAACTGAGTATCTTGCAGTAGCTTCCCTCTTTAAAAAATGCGTTTCTCGCTAAATCTATGACTACGTTTCCATCGAGGGTCCAAATCGGGTCAGAGTCGGGTTAGAGTCGGGTTGGGGTCAGCGCTTGTACGGTGGAAACGCCAAAGGTTTAGTTGAACTCTACCCTACAAAATTTTAGGGTAGCGTTCAGTTGAGGTTCGGTGGAAACGACAAGAGTCGAGTTCGTGTTGCCAACATAACAAATCCAAATTGCATTGTGTATCACGTGCTGTATTAATCGGTGTAGAAGAGGTTACTATTACTTTTTGTCGGTGATCTTGTAATCTGAGAAATAATTTTTGTATGTTATTTTGATATTGTAAAATTAATATTGCTCAGCTTTACATGTCAGAATATGGTACTTGACTTTGTGCAGTTGGTAATGTTCAACCCAACTCCAACCCCAACGTAACTCTGATCCCATGGAAACAGGCAAGGCAACTTAACTCTAACCCGACTCTA